GAGATCAATAATCAAAAAGTATTTTAACTGTACAATCATATATTCAGCTAGAATTAAGCAAACTTGTACACAATGACAACAGAAGCTGAGAATGTTTGAAAATACAAAATCTGCATGAGGCATTTGCTAATGTGAGGTTTACGATCAAGCAACTATTATCTGGAGCAGATAGTTCATATATAAACACAAAGCAATAAAATGAACTGGTAAATAAAATTATTGCATACACTTTGGAGCTGTTGCCGCATGTAAACATTCTCAGATACCAGCTGAGACACTTGTTTTTGGAGGCGATCATTTTCTTCCATCAAGAGCTTGTTCATCGCACTCAATTTTCGGTTCACGCTCTGAAATCTAGTCGACTCTGTACGCTGTTTGTCCCGACACCTTTTATTTGTTAAATATCAAAAGCATCAGAACGCATTAACGAAATAAGAATATCACACGATATGTCACTCGTCATTCAAATCCAAGATTCTTAAGAAAACCCGCAACTCGAGACATACATTATACATTAAAGTAGGAAATTAATAAATGATTGACATGATGCAAGATTCAAATAAAATTATAATGAACGACAAAATCTACAAAAATAATCACATAGGAAAAGAGAAACAATGATAAACTTCTCAAGATTTATACTCACGCATTCGCCATATATATATATATATATGAAAAGCGAAAGAAAGACTCTAATGAATAGAAAGGAAAGGAGCAGTGGTAGGAAGGTTAAGCACGGATCAGCAAGTTAGCATACAGGTTCGATGTAATTGTCTCTTCTTTCTTCTATGAGATCACATCAACATCAACATACCCAGTATATTCCCAACAGGTTGGGGTCTGGGGGGTCAGTTGTACGCAGACCTTACCCTTGTAATTATACAAGGAGGTTGTTTCCATAGCGACCCAAGGTGCGTTGCGTCGTTTGATATATTTTTTTTCTAGAAACTTCACTAATAGAAGAAGCACTAGAATTTAATTGAGCCAATTTTGATCTAAGCCATTATTAGCACTATGCCAGGAGAATTCTCAACAATGACTCTTCCAGCTCCATAAGCAATGGACCAGTCTTTCTTCTATGAGATATTGGAGAAAAAAACTTCGGTTTTGAAACCAGACTTTGATCTGTTTGGGCTCAATGTTTGAGACAATCGGACACTCCCTGATCAGCTGCTGACGGCACAAAGAGCTCGGCTTGGGGCACTCGGCATATACCCTCTCCAATGCCTCCACCTGCTCCGCGGTGTATCTCACATACTTTCCCGAATCCATTTGCTTATTTATACTGCACCCACTACTACTCTCTCCTTGATGCTGTGCTACCATAGCCATTTTTTTTTTTTCTTTTCTTCTGTTTTCCCTCCTTAAATTCTAATGAAAAGACCAAAAACTATTGTGAAAGAAGATAAAAGTCCACAGACAAGAAAAACCTTGGATGGTTGATTCTGCTATGCAAAGATTGGAATTTTCAATTTCCTTGATTCATTTTGTTAGTGGTGATATCAAAAAATCAAGATAAGATGGACAAATCTTGATTGATTGAGAAGATTGTTGGGCGAATAGTAGTCGTTGATTGCAAGGAGTGCACGAGCTGACTGACGAGCTGTTAGTATGTGGTGCATTTCTTGAAGATTTCCACAAGTTATCAGCCTGAAAAATCATCAGCTTCTTGATTTGAACCCATTGAATATGAAAACGAGTCGTGCAAATTGAAAAACTCATTATTGATATAATAATAAACTTACGAAGTCCCCCGAGAGTTCCCAACTTGCCAATAGCCATTGCCATTTGAACCATGTAAATTTGCAACATTTCTGGATAAAAACATCTGCACGGCTAAACGGATGTACCCCAAATTATAAATACAACAATTTCGCTATTCGTATTTTCTGCTTAAACTTCTTCACGTCAGACTTAGAGCTTGTGAGACTGAGACCCTTAACAACAGCCTTTTGGTCTGCTTTCAGCGTCCTACATCCATCCCTAATGCAAGAGAGCAAGAGCTTAGCAGCCAAACGGTACCTCCTGGCTTTGCAAAGGTTATGAACCACTGAAGAATATGTAAACGAATCCTTTGCATCCATCGTGTCAAAAATCAACAGCGCGTAATCCAAATGACCTGCTTTACATAGACTATTCACAAAGCAATTAAAAGCAACCAAACAATCGATCCCCATCATTTTCATATGATCCAAGTGTCTCTGTGCGACATCTATTTCGCCAGCCTGGCAAAGCCCGTCGATCAAAATAGTATGCGTGTAGGCATCACAATTCTCACCCCTTTCTTCAGCCACACCCACCAAATTATAAGCCTTCTGTAGTTCACCTTCTTTGCAGTGCCAATTTATTATTGTATTATAAGATACTAAATCGAGCTTGTAACCTATCTTAATCATATTCGCAATGCACTTATTTGCGTCCCGCATTCTTCCCGATTTCAACAATGCACCAACAATCGTGCAGTAAGAGAATAAATCGTACACGTACCCATCTCTCTTCATCTCCATGAAAATCTCAACTCCCTCTCTAAACCTTCTGCTCCTGAAACAGCATTTCATGACAGTCATGTAAGTAATGGCATTCGGGCTACAGCCCGATTCCCTAAGCTCCACAAAAAGCCTCATCACATCTTTCCACTTTCGCGAGCTGCACAAACTATTCAAAAGGATGTTGTACGTTACTATCTCAGCAACATACCCGTGTCGCTGCAAATTACGAAATAACCTGAGGGCATTGTTAGTGTACCCGTTTTTAC